ACATTTCTGAACACAGATGTGTGGAGTGCCTGTTTTGGAAGGTGTGGCTTCACCCAGCTACTCCTTGAGCCTTGATTGCCATGGTAAGGCTTTCGGACATGTATAGCGTACATAGGAGGGGAGCATAATGATGAATAGCAATCAGTATGCAGTTTTGGCTTAGAGGGAAGTTAAATCTTACATTTTCCAGGAGAACGTTATTTCTGGTGGTTTTGGTGTTTTGCATTAATGAACAAGTTCTGAAATTCCACAGATAACACATTTTCCTATATTTGCCCCAAAGGGGGGGGGGGGAAGAAAGCCATTCATGAAACATTGCCCTTTGTTTCTTGTGGAAGACAGCAGAAAATTTGAGACCAGAGCATCAAATGTTTCACTTCTCATCAAACCCATGGAAATGTCATTTTCTCCAGGTTTACCAGAGCTGCAAGTATGTCCACATAAGCTGATACTACCAGTACGGCTAATGGACTAGATCCACAGCCAGCACTAGCTGGCATTGCCCTGCGGTATACTTCTTACCTTAGCAGCTTGCCAACCATGGTATCATTTTCCAGATGATTTGCATTGAACTATGACGATTTATATTCACTGAGGATCTGGCCAACTGACACCCACCCAGGAGGGCTTTTTTTTATGGAGCTTTACCCCTATCTTACAAACCAACCTGATTAAAATGCCCCACCTTTATGTCAGGTTATCAGTACCATGATGACATTTCTTCCATGGCAATGCATTGTGTGACTTTGTGACATATCTGGCAAAGCTCCACTGAGAAGGTCCAGTCTTGGTAAATACAAAAAGGAAGAAAAGGGAGCAAATGGATGAAACCAGTGAATTCCCTAAGATTAAAGAAGAGATGGGGTCATTTCTGAATGACTAAAACACACTTCGGCTGAGGTTACTGGTCTATGGCAACCTTGAAATCTTATAGACACTGTGTTTTTTCTCCACAGCCTGCCAAGACCTTGCTGACACATCCAGCATAAAAAAAGAATCAGCATACACTATATCCTGAAAGGTTTCTGGGTTATCCTCCTCTAACATATTTAATGCTTGAGCACGCAGAAGCAGAGGGCTCCATCTGTTTTATTTTTTTTTTAGTTTTTGTATTTGAGAAGATAGTTCTATTCCCTTCTATTCCCTTCTATTCCCTTCTATTCCCTGTTTGGTTCCCAGATTGAACCTGTCCAGTCCCCATCCTTTGTGCTTTCAGGAAAGGGAAGCTTTTCTAAGTGTCTTATTTATGATGCCTTCAGAGCTCATCCATCCTCTATTTGGGCTTTTTTATTTACTGAAGACAAGTCTCGACTTTTTCCTTCATTTCTTTGATGCTCTCTCATCAAGGGCATGACAAGCACCCAGTCCTTCAGTGAACACTCCCTTCCCTACAGTTTGTAATTACATATGCATTTAATCTACATGCAGCTTTAAAAGAAATACACTTAACAACAGACACTGCTCTTTTCTGGACACTGATGTCTGAGCAAATAGCATTGCAAACTTCAGGCAACACAACCCCATTTGCTTTTAGAAGTGTAAGCTAGTGGTCTGCTGTAAAGCTGGGAATTAGAGTCCGAAAGATAGGGAAAGGTACCACTGGCAGACTGGGAATTAGAGTGCAAAAGATAAGGAAAAGTACCACTGGCAGGCTTAGAAAGAGGTAAAAAAACAAAACAGGTGGATTTGGGGAGGTTTACCCAAAGAAAAGAACAAACCCACCCATTCTGGATTTTCCCAAGATCAAGAGAGTGTCAAACAATGTACATCAACTGGGTGCGTAGCTGGCTTCTCATCACCACCCCACCAAGCCTGCCTGTCTCCCCTAGCACTTCCCTCCGCTGGCAAAGTACCTCTGCTGCAGCCAGGGAGGAACTTGTTGGGCTAAGGGAGCTGCTGTCCACATTGAGTACACACAGCAGGAGTTATGCTGCAGCATTTTCCCACCAAGTGTCTTTCCTGGCTTGTTTTGGCTCTGTTTGTAGCTATACATACTATTTTCTTTTTCTGGATGCTGGCTTTGAAATCCACATTGCCTTTTTCTTCAATTCTCTTGACAAATGGCTCTGTTTAATCTAGGCCTCCCCATATTTCCCCTCTATTTCTCTTTCTCTTGAGTCTCAACCACAACTGGGGCTGCAACCAAGGACTTTGACAGACATTTTCAAAGCAATCTGTTTCAGTCTTCAGTTCAAGACCAGTTGTAAGTTATTCTGTGGCCAGCCTTTTTTTTTTTGTTTGTTTTTTTTTTTGTGCAATCTCTGCTTTAGAGCATATTATTTATGTTTCTTCTTTGTGGGTAGAGAAAAAGGCATTCCTCTGATTTCTGGCCTGTGGTATCACAGATAGCTTTTCTCCTTGCCAAGTAGATCAGGCACCTCAGGACTAGCAGATGTCAGACATAAGCTGCCTATCTGACTCGTCCCACAGCAATCCTATAGCTTTCTAGGTACAGCATGGAGTACTGTAAAAGCTTTCCGTATATTTAGTACTTCAGCCTTTGTAAAATACTCAGCTACTTGTTTCAGCTGCTGACTGTGGACTTTTTTTCTTATTCTGGTGTTCAGTAACCACCCAGGGCTTGCATAGTTTTTTAGATAGACCTGGTTCAGCTACATCTCCTTCCAACAGTAACAACAGCCCCTGACAAAGGCAGCTTGCCCTTTATAAGGTAGTGCAGGGCCCCTTTGAGATCCTGGCACATCCCCCCAGGACCTGATTTGTGTGGTAGGAAGGGGTGGAACCTGAAGTTAAGAAAAGGAGAAAGAGGCAATGAGAAAGGACTTTTGGATGTCTTCATGTCTATAAAGGAAGGAATTGGGATAGAGGAAGAAAACAAAAGAATGTGTTTTCTGGGGAAAGAACAGGAGATGGTGTTGTGGCAGAGATGCTTTTCTGAAAGTTTCCATAAATCAGGGATGAAGACAACTATGGCTGGTAGAAATATTGATATTGTCTTCCTAAGCTGGTATAGGCACAGACAGACGAGGAAAAGTAGGGATGAGATCTTCAGAAAGATGCTTGTCTGTCTGCCTCTATCATGAGAGAAAATATATAGGGAGACTATATGATGCAAAGAATTTAAAGTAAGTAGGGGCTTTTCCATTCTGTCTCTTATGCCAGTCCACAAGGTGAAGGCCAGCAAGCTGAGCCACAGAAGGCAATCTCTAGCCAAAGTACTTCACGAAATTGTTGTGCGGGAGAGCTGAAGTGGCTAATGGCACAAGAGGCTGCAGAAGAATCATAGAATCATAAAATAGTTAGGGTTGGAAAGGACCTTAAGATCATCAAGTTCCAACCCCCATTTAAGGGACACCTCCCACTAAGCCTCCCAAGGCTCTGTCCAACCTGGCCTTGAACACCACCAGGGATGGAGCATTCACAACCTCCCTGGGCAACCCATTCCAGTGCCTCACCACCCTAACAGTAAACAACTTCTTCCTTATATCCAATCTAAACTTACCCTATATAAGTTTGAACCCATTACCCCTTGTCCTATCACTACAGTCCCTAATGAATCCCTGTAGCCCCCCTTCAGATACTGGAAGGCTGCTAAAGAATCTGGGTGATGACAGGAGATGTGAGAAAAGTGCTACGTGTACCTCAATGCACTGCAATTAGGAGTTAGGTAATATGAGGAGCTGTATCTACCTGAGGCACCATGTTGTTGGGAGTGGGTTGTCAGTGCTTCGCAACAGCCCAGGAGTAAATCAAACTCTGATTCCCCGCGTTTAATGAAAACTTGACAGGTGGGCAGGAGGGGTAAGAATGCAGCAATTCCACAGGTTTTGGGAAACAAGTGATCTGGGAGAAGATGGGAGAAAGCAAACTTCTAAACCTCTAAAACCACATGGGATTGCTGATTCTCCTCCATAAGACTGATTCAGATATACTTGAACTGTATTAGCTCTTAGTTGTAGGCTGTAGTTTGGCTTATCAAAAAAAAAAAAAAAAAAGAAAAGAGGGAAAAAATAGACCCCAAACCAGAAATAAACGAGAAGGGGAGCAGACCCAAATCCACACCACATTGAGTGGCTGTGTAATAGCACCTTGCAAATGGGTTCACCATGGGATTGCAGATGACTTAATTGTATATAACAGACCACAATGCTCAAGTGACTCATTGCTTTTGCTATATCTGTTCAAGATCACCATATTTAGTAAGAGAGATTTGCCATCACAAAACTTCTAATAAATTCTGTTGTTTCGCAATATCCATGGTGCTTTTGAGAAAAATATGGCATATCTCGTGCTCTGAGAATGTCTCAACCCACTCTGCACATGTGAACCATCACTACCATCCAGCCTCTTCCCATGAGGGGCTGATACTCCACTGCATTTGCATTGTGTGTTGCTTCATTATGTTGGACTTCCACTTCAGTAGGTTGAGAATGCTCCATCCCTGGAAGCATTCAAGGCCAGGTTGGATGGGATTTTGAGCAACCTAGTCTAGTGGAAGGTGTCCTTTCCATTGGATGGTGGGGTTGGAACTAGATGATCTTAAGGTCCTTTCTGACCTAAACCATTTTATGATTCTATGAAACAAACCACTTCAAACTAAGGTCCTAAATTCCCTACCTTCCCCTCTACCTCTTAACTCCATTTACCCGTATTTCTTAGATGTATAGCAGCAGCTTATTTATTAGCGCTCTTCAGAAAATAATTGCACTGGTGACATTAGTGCAAAGAGTGCCAGTCATATCAAAGGCCTTCTGTACACAGCATCACATACACATGCACAAGAAGTAGGAATGCTCTGATCTACAAACTCTTGGCTGTGCAAACAAACTTTCTAAAATCACTTTTATATGTAATGTTTTATTTTTACATTTCAGCCCAGACTAAGCTCTGTCAGCTTGCCTTTTTCCAGAAAATTCTTTGGATGCTCAGCTGAATTAATTGTCACAGCTGACCTCAGGTTCTTAATTTTCACTAATTACTAATATTGGCAATTTCCCTCTGATGTCAGGATAGGCCTTGCTTGAGGAATGACTAAATAAGACCTTCAGGGTATAGTGCTCCATATGTTTTAGGAGAGGGTTTTTTTTGTGTTGCTTTAGTGAGAATGTGGGAGAGGGTTTTAGAAAACTTTCTAGCTCAGCTTTCTTGGGTTACTTTTTCCATGAAAGGTAACAGATGCTCACTGTGACGTGAACGTTATTTCCATGCTTACAGAGAAGAAATAAGGATCAGTGTGATCGAGACTTAAAGGTTAGTTTATTTCAAATTATTTTGTGACGTCAATAGGCAATGATATATATAGCATAATATTTTCCCTCCTTACCACAGGGCCTTTAAAAGTATATCTTTGTTGACTTAGTTGCCATAGCAGTGACTAACATGGATATATATATATGTATGCACGTGCATATATGTGAGGAGGGATTCCCCAGCCCTAGGGTTGATTGTGTTGGCTTCTGTGGTTGTATTTCCTTTTTCTTCCCCTGCTCGAGGTGCTAAAAGACAGCTTGTGAAGCATCCTGGAGTTGGGAAATCAATCTTTTCAGTCAACCATCTTGAAGCGTGGGCCTTATTGTGTTTTGCAGGGCACTGGTATTTAGTGCTTATCTCCTAAAACAGGTAGCAATGTGTGGGCAGAGCAAAGCTCCCACATTACCCCCTCAGTGCCAGGATGATTCGTGTGGAAGCAGATGATGGAGATTTGCAAGGAGATGGGGCTCCACAAATAAATTAGGAGGCTATTAGTAGTAAATGTGCTGTTTACTATTTAGATGGTTTCACATGTGCTCAGATTGTGCTGAAAGGCCTTTGACATATTTAGTTTATCCTTACCTTAGAATAGATTTTTATCTCTGTGCTCATGTTTCAAACTGTTTCTCCCTTTCAGCAGCCTACTAACGTATTTCAGAGATCTTCTTGTCTGTGGTGTCTGTTAGGGTCGTTGCCTGCATTTTCTCTGCCCTGAGCTCTGCACCCTGTAAATAGCAGGAGTGTGATCCAGACCTGGAATCGCCCCTGAGTTCAGCCCTTGGGAAGCAAAACACTTTCAGAGGGTTTCTTGATCTCTTTTTGGTGGAGCTCAGTAGTCACCTAAATCTGAGCCCCAGGGAGTGGAGGCACACTGGGTGGTTTGGGTGCAGGGGTGAAGCTGCCTAACTGCTCTGTGCTGCAGTCGTGTCTCCAGTGTCACCATCCTGATGTCTCTCCCACCTCTTCTCCTCTCCTGCAGTCAGAAGGCAGCAAAATCTGAGCAGGTAGCTGCAGAGAGGGAGTGAATGTGGCTTCCTTTACTCTCTGAATATCTTTTGCTTCTCAAATGACAACAAACCTCAGGGCAGTCCTGGATGTGATGTGGATATAAGCTCCCTCCTTGTGGCTTTTGGGGGCTGGCAGGAGTAAAAGGGGTGGGAAAGGTTAATCACTATCTGAGAACAAATCATAGACTCATAGAACAGTTAGGGTTGGAAAGGACCCTAAGATGATCTAGTTCCAACCCCCCTGCCACGGGCAGGGACACTTCACACTAAAACATCTCACCCAAGGCTCTGTCCAACCTGGCCTTGAACACTTCCAGGGATGGAGCATTCACAACTTCCCTGGGCAGCGCATTCCAGTGCCTCACCACCCTAACAGTAAAGAAATTCCTCCTTACATCCAATCCAAACTTCCCCTGTTTAAGTTTCAACCCGTTATCCCTTGTCCTGTCACCACAATCCCTAATGAACAGTCCCTCCCCAGCATCCCTCTAGGACCCCCCAGATACTGGAAGGCTGCTATGAGGTCTCCATGCAGCCTTCTCTTCTCCAGGCTGAACAGCCCCAACTTCCTCAGCCTGTCTTCATACGGGAGGTGCTCCAGTCCCCTGATCATCCTCGTGGCCCTCCTCTGGACCTGCGCCAACAGTTCCATGTCCTTTTTATGTTGAGGACATCAGAACTGCACACAATACTCCAAGTGAGGTTTCACGAGAGCAGAGTAGAGGGGCAGGATCACCTCCTTCGACCTGCTGGTCATGCTCCTTTTGATGCAGCCCAGGATACGGTTGGCTTTCTGGGCTGTGAGTACACACTGCTGGCTCATGTTCATTTTCTCATTGACCAACACCCCCAGGTCCTTCTCCGCAGGGCTGCTCTGAATCTCTTCTCTGCCCAACCTGTAGCTGCACCTGGGATGGGTGAAAATCTTCAAAACTACTGGCAAGTCCCATATATTTGTTGGAGCTGCAGTCAAACTGGACTTGGCCATGTGCTGAAGGAAGAGCGCTTATACATAACACCATCCCAAAGAGCAGAAAGAGGGGAATCTGAGAACCTGAACCAACCTATGGTTTTGTGTTTAAACTCTTGCATTCTTAATGCATCTTTCCCCCCAGTGTTTTTTTTTTATTGTGGCTTTTTCATTTTACCTATCCAAACCTATGCTTCTACATCTCCGCAGCCAGCCAAAATTCAGCTTTTCCATTTTTGCTTGTGTGTGTTGCTACCAGCAAGTAAGATGTTGGAATGAGAATTTGGCTGGTCAGTGTGTTGATGACAAATGAAAGGGAAGCAAACACAGCTTGCTTGTCTGCAGCTACAGTGGTTCAGCAGGGCTGGCAGTAGTAAAGACATGTTATTTGTTGATAAAATACATGAAGCCAAGCTCTGAGAAGGAGCTGACACAGTGCTATCGTCTGCCTGTTCCATCTGCACCTTCAGAAATCCTAGCTTGTTGTGCTGGCTTAACCTGGAGTAGTTGGAATGGTGCATAGCTCCTGCTGGGTAAGATCAGGAGGGATGATCCTGGAGGGGCTGTGAGCACTTCACAGGTAGCACAGAAAAAATCGCAATGTGCCACTTGCAGAGGTGATATGCATGTGCACGCATATTTAGTCTTTGCCAACATAGCATGCGTGTCCATGTGCTTAGTCTTTATACATATTTACATATAATGTATATATACATACATATATACATTATACATATATGTGTATTTTGATATACATGCATTGAAGTGCCACGTAAAGGAGTGAAGGCAGCATACGCCAGCATGCAGGACAGCTAACTGGTGCTCTCTGACTTTTAATCCCACCCCCACCAGTTCCCTTCAGGGTTATCTCAATAATACTGTTTAATGTCTTTCCTTTTGTGTCACTGCTCTGTTGAGACTGAAAGGTCTTCAAGCAGGGACTGACCCTTCGTGTTTGCATGCCCAGTACCCAGTATGGGAGGCCTTGTGCCTAGCTAGGACTTCTGTATTACCAGATAAGCACAGCTACTGAGCATACTGCTGCCTTAAGGCATCTTGAGGAACGGCTCCCAGAGACATTTTGAAGCAGAAGGAGGACTTGTTCTCTTAGTCATGTAGTGGCTCCTGAAGTTAAGGATCCTTGGTGCAAAACAGTGAAGAAAAAGGTATCACTACTTTGTTGCAAAAGTCCTGCCTCTAGCAGAGCAAGGATGTAGCCCAGTAAAAATGATGCTAGTGTCTTCCCAGACTCTCTCTTGATGCTTTGGGTTACACTGCTCAGTCAAGAAAGGATCCCGTAAGTGCATGCAACACAGTACCACTTGCAAAAGGATGCATGCATGGCAGGCTGTAGGAACCAAGGAATTTCCAGAAAGCTCAGCAGCTCTCCAAGCCCTTGACTTACAGCATATATCAAATCCTCATAATTATGGTGGTAGCAAGAACAGTAAGAGGCAAACCTTGGACCATAAAGCTGGCATCCTAAATAGCCAAGAGGTGCAGGATGGCAAAGAAAGTGCAGCCATGGAGGGGAGACATGACTTTCCAAGGTTAGATGGTGGGGTGGCAGGGTAGCCAAGAACAATGGCCTGGGAGTCAGGTCACTATCTTAGCAACATGACCACATTCCCCGCAGTAATAAGAGTCATACTGAACCTTTGCCAAGAACCAGCTTGGCTCTACTCTGAATGGTCACCATTTCTGAGGGTTTTTTGGGGGAAAGAATAGCAGTTCAACAGTAAATAAACCCATTCTTTTCTAGTCCTAGAGGTACTAAAAGCAGTAATAATGGGGAACCAACAGTATTGTTGGTTTTCTTCATTGCCCCAAACCTACCAGGAGGCAGAAAATCTTCACCTCTGTTTGTATCTTTCAAAACAAATGTCCTTCTAAATCTGCTGCTGCATCTCCTTTGACGCATTCCAAGTAATGGGTGCTTCTACAAGACTTCTGAGCTTTGCTTATTATGGACACCATGGTGGGGAAACAGGACCATAACAAATCTGGCTTCTCACCAATTTAAAAGGTTGCTCTGGTAAGTCAAAGCCCTTTGGTATGGAATGTAGTCCTCATCCATTCATACATCTAATTTTAATTATATGATTTACTGATAATACACAGCAACAGCCTCTCCCTAGAAAACAAAGTGTCTGACTCTCAGCTACTTTCTACACAGAGACAAACAGATTGGTGTGGAGTCTATGGATGTTAGGGACACTGGTCCAGACTCTAAACAACAGAGCCCATTTAATTTCAAGAGCTGAATCTCCACAAAATGTTCACAGCAAAGCCCCAAACTAGGTGCAATAAATCTAACACCAGCCAAGTTCGCAAACCCAGGCTGAATTGCAGGAAAGCCCTGCGCCAGGTTTGTAAGAAGCCCTGGGCCAGGTTTCCAGTTAGCTTTGAAGACACATTTTAAAGAGGCTCCTCATCAGGATTTTGATCTTCCCACAGGCTATGCTTCAAGGTATTTCCACCAGCCAGGATTTGAGCTCACTGCTGCCAAATTCCATACCTGCTTGGGGCAGAGCAGCAGCAATGTCCAGAGGCAGGTTTCAGCTGAGCCTAGCTCCCCTTCCTGAGCAGCACTGGTGCCCCAGGGAAGGTGCTCTCAGCCCAGCCGGCAGCACAGGCAGGGCTGAGTGGCAGGCAGCTTCCCCTATAGATTGCAGCTGTTTTGTTTTCATCGGGTTTCAGCACTTGGCATTTTGGGCTGAATTTCACGCCAAGTATTCAAATCCAAGAGGCCCACAGGCCTTGTGGACATGCAAAACCACCAATGTAATGAAAATTGGTTTAAAATTGATTTACTTAAAAAAAAAAAAAAAAATTCAAGCCACCATGTGGAAACATTTAGAAGAGTCAGTTATGAAGTTTAACTAAATGGAAGTAAATGCCTTTGAATGTGTCCATACAAAGCACTGCACTGGTGAAAGTCAATCTATTTACTGTGAATTTTAATTAAACCAGTTGCTCTCTTATTTAATAACCAGCAGGGAGTAAAGTTGCCAATCACCAAT